TGGCTGAGCTCCTGCTGCAGCACGGAGGATTTTGCCTGAGAGTTCGGTGTTACTGCTCACTCCCTGTTGCAGAGCTGTTCCTCTGTTTCATTATTTATTGGGGGGTGGGGGGGGGGGGGAAACTAACTCCAAACAATAACCACGACCAAAAACTCCCCAGCCCTTTAGCAGCTGGAATCCAGACATCTGCAGCTCCACTGAATTAATGAGATGCCCAGGAGAGAACCCCAGAGCGGATTTCTCCTCTGCTCCCAGGACAGGCTGGCATAAACCACCAGGAAAACAGCAAGGCAAATCCTTTGCAGAACAGGAGGAAAGGGCTGAATTAATGCCTTCTGCACCTGGCAAACCTCCTGCCAACAAGCCGGCAGCCTCGGTCGCTGTTGCAGCTTAAAGGCCAGACTAGACATCTGCGGAGCCCATCTCCAGCTGCTTGTTATTTCTCTCGCATGTGTTGGACTCGCCCGCCGTCCCTGATGGGAGTTCCCGAACCGCATGTTGCCCTCTCTGCACAAAGGGCCGTTCATGGAGCAGGCGTCGAACAGCACCAGCTCCTCGTTCTGGTGCCAGCCGGCGTGTCCCAAGCAGGGGTGTGCCCCTTTGGCACCTTCGCTGCCCTCCGAGGAGAGATGCTGGAAATGTTGGCTGTGAAGAGGAGCCTGGGGCTCTTTCCGGGACGGGATGCTTAAACCACCTCAGACTTTGAGGGCCTTCCTCTCCTGCTCTGAGCTTCAGCTTGCACCAGTGTGGAGAGGAGGAGATCCAGAGGTGAAGTGTTTCAGGTAACTCGGCCACAAAGCCAGTGTGGAGCAGAGTTGGGGTCAGTGGACGTCTGTGCCCTGCCCACTGCGTGAGCTTCCCCGAGGAGTCTCGGTGCAGGGAGACGTCACCTTGTCGTTGGCAGCGCTGGGTGTCTTCCCAGACTCCCCTGTGCCCTTTTTAGGGGACTTTGAAGGCATACGCCCAACCACGAACAGTCGAATGCTGTATGGGTTTAGGGGCAGATGGACCAGTCGTGCCTGCTGTGTGACTCAAGCTTCACTTGTACGTACAGGAAGAAGAAGTCCTGTTCCAGTTCGGCAGGTGGGGAGCAGCCATGCTGTCTGATGCCTTCTTGGGAGGGTCACGCTCCCCACCAGCTCAAGTTTGGGCCTTATCCGTTAGCGGCTGTGCTCACCAGGGATTGTCGTACACTTGCTGGGAGGGGGGATCGGACACGCTCCGGGAGAATAAGCTCTGTCCACCCAAACCCAGAGCTTCACTGGGACCGGGGAGGGGGGAGGTGAAGTGAGGAATTCCCTGAGCAAGGCAGAACCTGGGCTCACACTGTGTCTGCCTCTTCGTGCTTCAGCACCGTCTCTGCTTGGGCACAGGCTGCTCCCCTTCCCTCTCCTGAGCCCAGTGGCTGTGAAAGGGCAAATTTGGTGCCAGGCTGGTAAAATCCCATCCTCCCTTTGCACAGCCCGGCAGGTCAGCCGGCGCTTGAACAGGGGGGAGTGGATCACAGGGTTTGAGCAGAAAGAATAATTCTGCAGAGATGAAATTCTGCCTGGTCAGGCTTTCTAACGCTGCTCAGCCCGACCTGCTGCTGCAGCAAGGTGTGCACTGAGGCTACGCTAACGCCAGCTCCTTGGGGTGTGTTTCCAGGGGTCCCCAGGCCGGGGCCCCGGCTGTGGTGCGGGTGCTCAGCTGCAGAGAGCCGCAGCGGCGATACCCGTTGGCAGAGCAGCGGTAACAATACCTGTGGGGAGGGATGGCAGTTTCTCATCATTCGGTTTTACAGATCTTCCCAAGTCCGCTGCGGCTTCATTTATTTCCTCTCCCGATTTCACATCAGGTGACAAAAGAAGGAACAGTGGTTGAAAGCACGTGGGGATCGCAGACGGCCGTTCCCCAGGGACAGATTATCTCAAGGTGCACATGCAGGATGGTTCACACGTTATCAAATGCAATAGCTGGGGAGGAGGGAACGTGGGTTTGCAGAGATTCATTATTCCCATGGGGGGATAAATAATTTATTTTAGATTAATTTTTCTTTGCTCTGTCTGTAGATGACTCTAACTAAATTATGAATAGCTGAAGACGGTGTTCAAGTTATCGTCGCGTGTCTTTCCCTGAAGGCTTCCCCCGTTTTCATTCTCCACATTTTATTCTGGAGATAAAAGGAAATAAAAGGATAAATGAATTTTTAGCTTCAGCCTTTGAAGAACGCAGCAGGTCTGGGTGTTTGGAGTTCCACTTTTAGAGGGCAAATCCGCATTTTCCCGCTTTTGGTATAAGGATTTTTGTCCCCCTGGCTCTTGGGTATTTATCAGATTTGGCACGTCTGTATGTGTACGTTAGCTGGTTGGGGTGTACTTCGCCGGGGAATAAAGGATGATTTTTTTTCCTGCATAAAATGCCACTTATGTTTTTTGGCTGAGGTGTAATTCTGGCTGTATGTCGGAGTGTGACACTAAAATGAATTAAATGGTTACTGATGTTCGGCTGCTGGGTGTTTTCTGTACAGCTGCCCCGCAGCAAACCCCCGGGGCGGGACGGACCTCACCCACAACGCGCCGGGCGCAGGGCTCCGCGCTGGCCGTCTCCATTGCTCTCTCCTGCAGCTTCCCTCTTCTCTGGCGTTTCCACCTTCTGCCGCTCCAGCACGCAGCTCTCCGCAGGCAGCGGCCACGTTCGCAGCAGCTCCCCGCACCGTGCGGGCAGTTCAGCAGAGCTGACCTTGTGCCCCTAAATAATCGGATCAGTTCTGGTGACTTGTGCTAGTGGAGAGATTGCTGAGAGATCCTGATTTTTCCTTTGAAATTAACTAAGAGGTAGTGCCTTTTTTCCACACGATGCATGACGTTTCTTTCGCTTGGAGAATGAATGACTCATCTGCTGTTCTCCTGCTCTGCCGGGCCTGCCCTCTCCACCCTGGAGCAGGAGCAGCCT